AATCAATTAACAAACGGAGACGTAACAATATATTTTCTTTGCAAGTTTTGCTGACATTCAAACTCCTTCACACATGACAGTGTTAAGTTTGATAATTAGAGTTTTGAATAGAAACAACTTCTTTAAAAAATTATTTACATTATTTGTATTTAATCAAAATTTGAGATTATTGGTAGGGGGTAAATATACACCGTATATTTGCTATGTCGAGTACGACGTGTACCTTCTGGTATTCTTGCATGAACACTGTTTCCTATTATAAACTCTTGATTTTTCTTGTTTGAAACAAAATCATTACAGGCTTTAAACCTGCTTCACGACTGGATTTAATTATTAGTAAAATTAGAAAGACCTGCATAGGTTTATCACAAAGCTAAAATATAAGCTACATTTATTAAAACACTACATTATGTCTTATTATTGAATTTATGTAGTGTACATTGGTTATAAAATACATTTTAATACCAAAAATAAACGACCTTAAAACACAAAAAGTTGTTATTTATCTTTAATTGGACACTCAACATTTCGCTTTACAGCTTCTTCAGGAGCGTTCCACAAAAACCAAACCATAACTGAAGAAGCGAAACGTTGAGTGTCCAATTAAAGATAAATAGCAAATTTTGGTGTTTTAAGGTCGCTTATTTCTGCTACATTATGTCTACAGACACAGCTTGAAATTTAATACTAAGCTCTTTAAGTAATTTAAGTCCAGTTGTACAAATAATACAATGTATTACTGTCCGTAAAATAAATAACAACAAACAAACGCCGCCTGGAGAATGGGCGTATTAAGTACACCAACGTCTACGGCGTTGCCATAACGTCAGTGCAATGCCAGCGTGTCGTCGATAGTGTATGGGTAATCTAAATAATACTAACGAAAAGCTTGGTCTTGGGTGTCAAGTATAATATTTAAATTGTGAATACACAAGAAGTATTAAATATGGCAACATCGGGTAAGTTATTTACATCGACAGAACAGAGTGCTGGTGATATAGAACAGTCTGACCATATGAAAAACGAAGTCTTTGATTCTGAAAAAGGCAGTGACCATATCCAAACTAGCGTTAACTCTAAACTCACTAAGGATGAGGTAAGCTAATTTGTCTTCCGCCGGTCAGGTCTTAAGCCTTAACTTGCTGCTTTAATTTAGCTCTTGCCAACACTAATTTAACATTTTAAGCCTTAATGTTAAAATAGAATAGTATTATGGCATTTCAATTCCAACTTCCAGAAGCTGACAAAAGTGAAACTATGAAAGACTAACTTTGTTTGAAATTGAACTTGAAGTGATAATATTAATATATACTGATAACATTAACAATAACAGTGAATGAGTATATCATTTTGCTTTGACTAAGCCGTGCGCGACAATGTCGCTTTTAATTTATATTATGAATTATAAGTTTTAATATTATTAACAATTTATTACTATCAGTATCACTGTCACTATATTATTTTTATATATATAATCAGTTATACTAATAGAAGACACTGAGTTGAAAAAGTAGTACAAGTTTAATAACATATCATTTATAATTATATTATAATACATTCTTGTTTAGGCTTAGCCAAAAACCTACAAAGATACAGTTTCGTTAGGCATCCATTTGTTCATGTACAAACTTACAGTGCCTTCCAAAAGTATTAATTCCTGCCAATAATGTCACATTTTAATGAAATACAAATAATGTAAATAATTTTTTTTTAATGAACTTGTTTTTATTTAAAACTCTAATGATCCACTGTTAAGTTTGAAACTTTGAAGGAGGTAGAAATGTTAGCAAAACCAGCAAAGAAAATATATATATTGAAATTTGCTCATTGCATAAATATTCAGCCCCCTAAGTTGTTACTTGGTAGAAGCACCTTTGGTAGCAATTACTGCTGTGAGCCTTTTTGGATAGGTCTTACCAGCTTTGAACAATGGGATGGTGTAATTTTTGCCAATTCTTCCTGGCAGAATTGCTCCAAATCTGACAAGTTTGTTGGGGATCGTTGATGAACTGCAATCTTCATGTCTTGCTATAAATTTTCTGTTTGATTCAAATCATAATTTTGATTGGGCCACTCCAGGACTATCACTTTCTTCATTTGAAACCATTTCAGTGTGGCTTTGGCCTTGTACTTTGGGTCATTGTCCTGCTGAAATATGAATTTTTGACCTAGTTTTAGATTATTGGCTGACTCAAGCAGGTTTTCCTATACGAATCGCCTGTACTTTGATGCTTTGAATTTAGACCAAAATGCTCAACTTTTGTCTCGTCTGACCGCAAAACCTCATGTCTCATGTGTGCAATATCAGTTACATGCTTTGTCACAAACTCCAGATGATTCATTTTCAGTAATGGCTTCTTTCTTGCCACTCACCCATACAAGCCAGCTTTGTGTAGGAACCGGGATATTGTTGCTGTATGAACACTGACTCCCATCTCAGATGTGGAATTTTGCAATTCTTTTAAAGACACTGTTGGCTTCACAGTAGCATTCCTAACCAGTTTTCTGCTTGCCCAGCTGCTTAGTTTGGAAGGGTGGCCTGATCAGGGTAGTAACTGGGTGGTACTCCATTTCTTAATGATGGACATCACCATACTCAGAGGGATAATCAGCAACTTTGTAATTTTCTTGTAACCTTCTCCTGATCTGTGCTTCTCTACCACTTTATCCCTGACTTGTTTGGAAAGCTCCTTGGTCTTAATGGTTGGTTTGTCGTATCACTGTGTGAGTTGTGGTTTGAACAGATGCATTTACTCTAAAGTCAAACCACTTTGATTACACACAGAGATCATTACACCAATTTTGTGATCTTTTGTAACTGAACTAATACACGGTTGCCATAGTAAAGGGGTTGAATACTTATGCAATTCTAATTTTCTTTGAAAACCTAACGTACATAATATCAGCATTTTTTAATTTTCTTAGTGGGGAGTAAATTTTGTAGATTCTAAGTATAAAGTCCCATTTGAAAGTTTCATGATTGCAAATTCAGACAACAAAATGTGGAAACTTTGTAGGGGGGTGAATACTTTTGCAAGGCACTGTAAATGAGTCATAGTAAGTCACAAACACTGAGTGGGTATTATTTTTGCACTAACTGATTAAGCCTTACCACTAAGCTATAGCTTTCAAATTTTAATTGTATGAACTAAAATTTATTAAGTGAAAGGACTCGTTAAGAACTTGGAGGGGCTATGCAAAACTAGTGGAAGGATATTGAAGGTAAAAGGACAGCATTATAACTCCGAGTAGCTTAATGTGTAGCAATTACTGTATGAAGTTTTTATCTCACGGTCAAACGACTCGTTTAAAATTTACGATTTACCAATTCCACGAAAAAATTTAGCAGATACATGAAGATTTCCCTCAAAAAGAAATGTTATTTTTACTAAAAATAGAAGAAGAAACAACTGACTGCAAATAAATGGTAGATCTTGCCATATAGTGTTAACTATTAGAAATCATGCTAACCATCTCCAGTCTCCTGTTTTATTTAAAATGCCACATTGTTAATAAAGGATTGCTTCTAGTGATCAATTGATTTTTTGGAAAACACAAATTAATAATAAAGAAAAACACAAATGTAATTACGTGAAGTATTTATTAGACATTTCAGGATCTTTAGAATTCTATCTTCAGTAAGCTAAAGGTAGAAGAATACATAATGGTAATTACTCTAGAAATGTGATATAATTTGTAATATACAGTAGTAAACAATTTCAATACAAAAAAGAAGAACCAGAGAAAATGAACAGTATGTAGCACAAATTAAATAAGTCATATTGAAATATATTTAAATCAAATGAAGAATGTATATTATTTAGAAACTTCTTCTCTTGGTTAAAAGTGCATTTCTCAAGCTTTATATTGTGATATCTTCCATTTTTACAACTGAATGAAGATTTGTTGTATTTGATATTAATTTAGCATATTAAAAAAGGTCATGACAAACTTGGTTTACCAAGTTCCATTCAGGAATGAGTTTGGATTATATAATTTATATTCCAAACACTGGGTTTAAAATAAAGCTTGTTCTGTTTAATATGAAACAAGGTGTATTTTTCCCACCCTCAGAAATTAGCAGTGAGTAAAGAGTCTGAAGATTTTCCCTTTGTGAAACCATGTTGACAATTCAATAAAATTCTAAATTATGTTAAATGGCTTTGCATAGCATCTTTTATCAGACTCTCCAAAACATTCCCAACAAATGATGCAAGACTGATGCCTAAAATTACTGGAATAATTTTTATTACCTCTGTTGAAAAGAGGAGTAACATTAGCTAACTGCCAATCCTGTGGTATCTGCCCACTATTCAAGGACTTGCAAAAAATAGAAGCAAGTGGCTGACATATCCAATCTTTAACCTCCATCAAAACCCTTAGGGAAATATTATCTGGCCCAGGAGACTTATTGGTTTTTAAACTTCCCAATTTTTTCTTAACCAGCTCAGAATTAATGCAGTCATATTGTTTCATCTCATTTCCATCTATCAACTGTTCAAAATGAAGAATATTGCTTAAATCTTTATTAGTAAAAATTGAAGAAAAAGCAAAATTTAATAACCCAGCCATCCCATAATCATCAGATACTAGCCTTCCTTTATCATCCCTCAAGAGTCCTAACATTTTGTTTACACTTAATGTATTTAAAGAAATCCATACTGTTAATTTTTACATCTTCAGCCAACCTTCTCTCATACATTCTTTTTGATGTCCTAATATCCTGTTTCACCAACTTTCTTCATCTTCCATAATCTTCTGAATCTCCCATCATGCTAGTCAATTTAAATTTATTAAACTTATGATGCTTTTCTTTAATTTTATCTCTTATACTCTTTGTGAGCCAACCTGGTTTTTTACTTGCAGCTACCCTTTTCTTTCTATAAGGTATTTGTTTACCTTGGATACTTAAACATTTATCTTTAAAAGTTTTCCACATCTGATCAGTGTCTCCAAATAAGTTGCTCAACTCACAAAGATAATTCTTGTGACATCCCTTCAAAATTTGCTTTTCTGAAATTGGTAACCAAAATATCATTATCCCTTATCTCCATATGCAGCAAAATATTGAACCTAATGGACAATGATCGCTTGTACCCAGATGTTCCCCAAGTTTTCATCCTCTATCTTTTCTGTGTTTGAAGTTAACAATAAATCTAAAATAGCATTTTTCTAGTAGGTACCCTGACTAACTGTTGAAGAAAGCCATCTTAAACAGTTTCCAAAACCCTTTCTTCTTCATGTTTTGACTCTAGCATTTCCTAATCTATATGCCTGAAATTAAAATCACCCATAATTATAACATCATTAAAAACTGAAATCTTAATCTCATTGTAAAGTTTCCCTAATTTCATCAGTATCATCTGGTGGTCTGTAACAAATTTCCACTAAAAGCCTTTTCCCTTTATATCCGCTAATAGAAACCCAAATGGATTCAGTCTTCTTGCTATTATCTTTGATATCCTAAACTTCAACAGGATGTAACTCACATTTTACATATAAAGTTACCCCTCCCCCTCTCTTTAGAACTCTGTCCCTATTAAATAGCCTATAACCATGTATTTCAAAGATGTTTCGGTCATTCTCATTATATCAAAATCCTCCATTGCTACCAGCACTCTAAAGTCATCTATTTTATTTCTTATACTTCTAGCATTACAGTCATACAATTAAGCCTACTTTTATAACTACTTCTATTCTCATTTCCTATGCTAAACTTTTCTCTTCCTCTTATTCTTTTTGCAGTTAGTTTATACTGATCCTCACCACTGTCTTGTACTACTTTAAAACTTCCCTTACAGCTGAATTAATAGGCCTAGTAAACAAGCCAGTTCCTATCCTAGTTGAATGTAAACCATCCATTCCAAAAAGCTTCTTTTTTCTATTGACCTGAATCCACAAGTCCAACCAGCCAATGTGCTCATCCTCACATTCTAACACCTAAGCCTAGCACTTAGCCCTAGTGACCTACTTATAACTTATTCCCCACAGTTAATTCTGGGCATTATCCCTGATAAAATTAAGTTATGGCCTTTTTCTTTAAATGTCTTTATCAACCCTTTGTACTTATTAATTCGCTCCTCTGACCTAGCTTTA